GGAAAAGTCAAGTGTCACTTTTATACACATTCATGGCTCCCTCTACTTCTTCCTGGTAATTATCGTAATCATAATTATTTAATAATTATCATATATATATAATAATTTTTTTTAGAGGTTTTTGCCTTAGAGTGCGTTTGCTCACTGGAAATCAACCCCCCGGGGGAATGACCATGTTGCAATCCCTTCTCCTCCAGGGATCTTGGGCATGCATGCACATGTGCCTGGTGTAATTTTCAAGCCACTTGGTCCAGGACTTGAACCATGGTTAGCCGTGTGGGAATCCAGTGGCATAACCACTACACCATCTACTGACCCCTATTACATATTTTTAAAATGTCTGTTTTTCCCACTATTCTCTAAGTGCCATGACAGTTGGGGACATAGCTGTTTTGTTCACTGAAGCATCCTTAGAACTTAGTGAGGACCATAGTGTTCTAGGATATTCTCCCATAGTCACATGCTCCTCTCTACACCCTCCAGCCCAACTCAGAGAAGCAAATAAATATAATAATTAAGATGGGAGCTCTATTCCTCTTAGGACCTGGGAGCGATTGATGTTGAAAGAGAATCTCCAGAGGATGAAAGAAAAACCCAGCAAAGGTCTTTACCACATCCATAGCCAAAAATGAATTCCCCTCATACTCCTAACTGGTGATCTCTGGTTTGAGGGGCAGAAGTAATATTTAAGCAGAGGCCAGCCAATGGTGTGGCAGTAAGGGTGGCTAGATCCCACATGGCTGACTGTGCAGTTCAAGTCTCAGACCCAGTGGCTTGAGAGGGGGGTAAGTGTGCCTCCTTTAAGGAGGGAGAGGTAGAGGATTGTGGTGTAACTATTCCCCATGGAGGGGGGCACTCTCTTCATTCTGTTTCTCTCCTGTGAGCACACATGACCTCTAGCAAAATTTAAAAAAATACTTAAACCAATAACTAGAATATTGACTTGTAATTAAGGCTTAGTAAATAGCTAAATTACTAAGTGCTAGGATATAATCTATAATAGTAAGTATTCGGTTTATAAATGAGATGATAGAAGATAATTAAGATGGCAGTAGATAATCAAATATTAACTACTCAAGTGTTAGCTGATAACCAATGTGTTAATTTAAAACCAAGATGTTAGCAGATACTAGTTAACCAATGACTAGGGTGACAACTGATAAGGATTTAAAGGTATGTTTTTCCTAGGGACTTGGGAACAGCGGAAAGCTGATAAAGTTCTACAGAAATGCAGGTCTAATTGCATCTGCAAAAATCCTTAGTTGGACTCTAAGTTTCTGGAGAAATAGGGAAATAATTTGTTTTCTTTGATTTCTAGAGAGGGTCTAGTCAGGGACAGGTATGGAGCTTGTCTCAGTTCACTAATGTGTTAATAACAGAAATACCTGGGAGTGGGTGACTTATTTATTTTTTAGAGAGATTTTTTGCTACAGGGCACGTGCACTCGCTGGAGAGACAGAGACAGAGAGACAGAAAGTGAAAAATCACACCCTGGGGGGATGGCCACGCCACAATTCCTTCCCCTCCATTCTCTCAGGATCTTGGGCATGCACGCACACGCACCCAGTTTGAGTTTTAAGCAGCCAGGTCCAGGACCAAACCACAGTTGACTACGTGGGAATCCAGTGACGGAACCATTGGGCCATCTGCTGGTCTCAGGATTTGATGATTTATAAAGAATGTAAATGGGTCAGGAACCAGCAGTTAGCGTAATGGCTATGTCGCTGGACTCCCATGTAGTCGACCGCGGTTCGCGTCCTGGACCCAGTGGCTTAAAACTTATGCCGGGCGCTTGTGCGTACGTGCCCAAGATCCCGAGAGGAGAATGGAGGAGAAGGGATTGCGGCGTGACCATCCCCCCTGGGGGGGGATTTCTCGCTTTCTGTCTCTCTGTCTCTCTCTGTCTGTCTGGCGAGCGCACACGCCCTATAGCGAAAATCTCTCTCTCAAAAAAAAAAAAAGAATGTAAGTGGGTCCAGCCAATGGTCTGGTGGTTGAGGTAGATGAGGTGGCTGGATCCCACAAGGCTAAATGCATGGTTTGAGTCCCAGATCCAATAGCTTGAAAAACATGCCAGGTACCCTGGTATATGTGTGTAGATGTCCAAAATCCCAAGAGGAGTGTGAGGAGACGGGATTGCTGTGTGGCCATCTGCCCTAGAGGGTGCTTTCTCTTTTCTCTCTTTCTCCTCTGATTGCACACACCTTTTAGCAATTTTTTTAAAAGAGAGCTTTATTTGGTTTATAATTCTGATGAGTGGAAAATCCAAAGTCTTGGGGCTTGGTGTCAGGCCAGCCTCTGGTGCTGCATTACAACAAAACTGACAGAGACAGAAGCAGAGGGTTTAGCAGGTAGCTGCAGAAAGAGATTTGGGGTCAGCCATCTTCCTTTTATAACAACCTGTTCTCATAGGAACCAACCTCCTCTCATGAGAGCTAGAACTCACTCCATCTCACAGGAAACACGAATCCATTCATGAAATTGTTGTCTCCACAATCCAAACACTGCTCACAAGGCTCTTCTCTTAAAGTCTCACCACCTCCCAATGTCATTACACTGGGGACTACATTCCAAAAGATGAACCTCTGGGGGATGGACTAATATCTAAACTGTAGCAGAGCTAATACTGAAAATGCTTACTAGGGAATTTAATCTGTTACAGGTCAGGCGCTGTGCCGAGGAGAGAGAAGGCAAGGCAGAATATAGTGCGACTGGGTGAATGAGCACGTGAGCGGTGTGTGAAGGGGAAGACAGGCAGTGCAAACGCTCAGTGAAAAGGGAGAATGGGATACCAAGGAGAGAGGATGAGTTTAATTCTGGACATAATGATTTGAGGCAACTGTAGAGATGCCCAGTAGACAGGTGGAACTGAGTCCAGTATATATACAGAAAGAGGTTTGGGTATCATCAGTGCATAGGTGGTGGTCAAAACCACGAGGAAAACAGTGTGACTACAGAAGAATAGATGGAGTGAGAAAAGGGAACAGCCTAGAATGCCAGGGAAGATCAACAGGGAAAGGGTGGCTAAAAGAGGACAGAAAAAAGAAGTATACATGAAAGAGCTGGGGAAAACTAAGATGGTGGCAGAAAGTAAACGGAAGAGAATGTGTCAACAAGAGCATAGTCACCAGTGTCAGATGTGGCTGAGAGGTTAAGTAGGGGAAGGTCACAGAGATAAGGAGTTGAGTGATTGCTTTGGTGAGTGTAGTGAGATAAGGCATAGATTCAGATGATGGACAGCGAGTGTAGAAGGAAGAAAGTAGCTGTAGAAGAATGTGATTCTGGGACCAGCAGTTGGCATAATGGTTATGTCACTGGACTCCCATGTAGTCAACCACAGTTTGCGTCCTGGACAGGGTGGCTTAAACTCACACCGAGCGCGTGTGTGTGCATGCCCAAGATCCTGAGAGGAGAATGGAGGAGAAAGGATTGTGGTGTGGCCATCCCCACTGGGGGGGTGATTTCTCGCTGTCTCTCTGTCTTTCTCTGTCTTTCTGGCGAGTGCACGTGCCCTATAGCAAAAACCTCTCCCCCTCCCAAAAAAAAGAATATGATTCCACGATGACCATCACAAAAATTTCTGTGATGGTTTCTGTATGTGCACATACACACACACAAATACACAAACAGAGCTGGTGCCTGCTGCCTGGAGTAGGGTGTGTTAGGGTAGCCTGGAGGCTACATAGGGGACTTTTGGTCAGCACAGACAGCCTTCATATTGTTCTGGGCAGCCTTTGAGACCACCATTCAGGGAGAATGTGAGAAGTGTAAATTCAGTTTTGTTGTCCAGTGAGAAAATGGAGGACAGCAGAGAGGGAACGATTTTACTTCGTGAGTCAGGGACATGGTCAGGACTCGAATCTGAAGAATGACTTTGGGAAAGTTATTGGTCAGTGACTTTTCCCATCACCTTAGGTTTTAGCTGCTTCTTTTTATGTTTATAGGAAAGTGAAATACACATCTTACATATAAAATTCAAACATTAAAGGAATTCATAATAAAGAAAATGACTTCTGTTATACCACCCCACTTCCTCATGGACAACCACCAGTAACAGTTTGGTCTGGGTTCCTCCCTCTCATTTAATTATGTAATTACAAAAATATTTATTTATTATCATTATTTTTTCAATTTGACCAGAGTGAAAGAGAGAAAGAAAATGAGAAAGCAAGCCAAGTCCAGGACTGAAACTGTGGTCAGCTATGTGGGAGTCCAGCACCCTTAACCACCATGCCACCTGCTGATCCCAATTATGTAATTTTTTAAAAAAGTTTTTGCAATAGGACATGTGCATTCACTGGACAAAGAGAGAGACAGTGAGAGATAAAGCAAGAAATCACCCCTCAAGTGGGGATGGTCACGTTGCAATCCCTTCTCCATTGTCCTCCTGGGATTTTGGGCATGCACGCACATGTACCAGCATGATTTCCAAGCCACGAGGTCCAGTACTCGAACCATGGTTGTCCAGGTGGAGGTCCAGCTCCTTAACCACCATGCCACCAGCTGGCTCAAATTATGAGAATTTGAAAACGGATTTATTTCATGAACGAGTAAAAAAACAACAGAGCAAGAAAGAGATAAGCACCTTCAACAGGGTCTCATGGCATGTTCAGCCAAGATCACGGGCATGTGCACACCCCGATGTTGATCGGAGGACCGAGCCCCAGTCTTCCACATGGCTCCAGTACACAGTATTACAGCACAGTGTGCCACAGCTGTCCCACTGTGGCTGGGCCAATATTGTGAGCTAAAAATATACATATTCACGCTGGTTTTGTTTTGTTTTGTTTCAGTTTTGCTATTGGGAGCATGCGCTCACCAGAGAGAGACAGAGGGAAAGTGAGAAATCACCCCTCAAGGGGGATGTCCACACTATAATCCCTTCTCCTCCATTCTTCTTTCAGGATCTTGGGCATGCACGCACAGGAAAACAATAACAACAAATAAATGTTTGGCCTCAATTGCGACTGACTAAAAGTTCAGGTTTAGTGCACATTTTTAATTGATCACAAGTTGTTTTTTGGTTTATATGGAAAAAACATTTATTGAATTCCCTGTCCTAGGTACTTTCACAGGTTTTTCATGCTAATCCTCACAACAGCCCTGTGAGGTAGGAATTGGCCCCATTTTACAGAGATTTTGATATTCTGTTTGCCACGTTTTCTCTGGCTGGAGGTTCTTGTTGGTTGATTCACTGGTCAAGAACTTTCACTAGCCAAGAGAGCCTACTAATTTCTCTGAGTCAAATAATCAAGACTAGACTCTCTTCTGTAAGAGTGATGGGGTGGGTGGGATAGGAGTGAAGGAAGGAGAGTCAGTGGGTCTCTCCCTCTGAAGCACCATTTTTGTTTGCATTGGTCACCCATGCACAGGTGGATGGGATGGGGATGGCGAGGAAAGAGAGAAAGTGCTTATAAGTCTTCTCGCTTCTGCAGGATGAGCTTCCTCACAAGTGCTTTGATATGGGGTTTGATCTCCTCCACTGACACAGTCGGGTCCCAAGCCCCTACCACCTTTCCATCTGGGGCCACTAAATACTTCCAGAAGTTCCAGGTGGGCTCCTTCCCAGAAGTCTCTAGAGAAAAAAGAAGAAAAGTGTACTTCTCTGTACTCTCTCTTGGAGTTCCTCTATCAGTGTAATCCGGATGCTCGGTCTACATACCAGACCACTTGAATCAGAATAAGGAGGATAGGACTCAGATGTCAGTGCACTTAGCCCTTGGTAACTACTGGGTATTGGTAGGGTACTAAAGGATACTAAAATACTCAAATCCCATATATAAAATGGCATAGTATTTGCATATAGCGTATACACACCTCCCCATATACTTTAAATTATCCCTAGATTACTTAAAATACCTAATACAATGTAAATGCTATGTAAATAGTTGTTGTAGCTTTTTTTGTTGTTGTTTTGTCTTTTTCAATTTTGCCAGAGGGTGCATCCCCTTGTTGGAGAGAAACACAGAAGGGGGAGTGAGAAAGCAATCCCACATGGAAAATGGTCACTCTGTAATCTCTTCCCATTTCTTCCTCCTTTCAGGATTTTGGACAAACATCCATAGGTGCCTGGAGTTTCTCAGACCACTAGGCCTGGGACTCCAGCTGCATAGTAAGTCATGTGCGATCTGGCCACATTAACTACCACACCAAGGGCTGATCCCATCCAAGGATATTTTTGATCTCTGGTTGGCTGAATCTGCAGATGTAACTTATGGTCACAGAGGGACAACCATATTTTTCAGAAGCTCTGCAGAAGGAGATTCTAGTGTGCAGCCAAAGTTGAACGTGACTGCTACAGTATTTCTGCTG